TCGTCCTCAGAGCCACAACCGCGACAAAGGTCATTATAAGGAAGACCTAGTCTCATAGCATGCCTCCCTATTAAGCAATGACCCGTTAGCACTGATACCGTAGTACTGAGCAGATCTCTTTTTAGTTGGAGCAGTTGACTCGTACGCTTTTTATCCATGTTAGACCAAATCGACTTAGAAATGTGACAACTGGGCTCACTTGCCCATTGTTGCTGAGCAATGCTTAGCTATTTTTGTTTAATTGCCGGTTTAACTGTTGCAAGTGGAACGCCAATTTCTAATAAATGAATATCAGGGAGAAGAGCCCCAGTCTTGGCAAGCTCATCCGCCCTACAGTTACCCGCAATATCCCTATGACCAGGAACCCAGATAAGCTGAACGTTAGCGCACATAGCTAGGTCGTTGAGGGAAGCACGGCAATTTTGAGTAATAATTGATGAGGCTGAGGTACTTACCAGTGATTTAATGGCAGCCTGGCTATCCGAGAAAATTGAATAATTTTCTTCGGAGGTACGATTGTCGAGGATCCATTTTACAACAAAATGGATAGCCATTACTTCTGCTTGGAAGACACTGCAGTAGTTAGGTAGTCGAAGCGAAACACTAAGACCTAATCTTTCCGAGAAAATGCCAGAACCGACTCGTTTGTCTATTTTCGAGCCATCTGTGTAGATATCTATTTTATTGGGGGTAGATACTCTACCAAGGGTCCAGTCTTCTCTACAATGGGTACAATAATGGGTACAATGGGTACAATTATTAATGTTAGTTTACATTTTTGTTGCTTATTTATACTATGTACAACGATACTGGGGATAGCGCCTATTTGGTCTGACATTTGAAAACACAGCATTTTGAACTGAACTTTATTTCTTTATTTACTTCTAATCAACTATGTATTTCAATGCTATTATATTATATTTACATTTATATTTACAATATTTACATATTTATATTTATTATATATATTTATATTATATTTACATTTATATTTATTTTTATATTTACATATTTACAGTTATAAAATATTTGCTGAGTACGTTAGAATATATTTCTATTTCAACGAATACTTTCTAAATAAATATATATTTAAATGTTAGGAACTGCGGTTATTGGTGGGAACCATGTCTGAAGAATGCATTGTAAAACCGATTTTTGTTTGATAAATTTAGGGAAATGCTTTCAATGGACACATACTTTTAGTGCAATTTTCATTTTCGATTGGTTAATCTCGAGCAAAATATATAACACTCGAGATTAGTTTATACCACTCTAGATATTTTGCCAAAATAGCAAGATTGTCCTGAAAATAACAGATTTATCTTACGCATAGTTCTATTTAAAATGTCTCTTAATTTTAACCTTCGTTTTAACGAAATTAAGGCCATTTTTCTTAATTTCGTTCTAACTTCAAAACTTAATTTTGTATGGAAAAAACAACTTAATTTCGCTGAAATGAATATCTAATTAAGATTTTTGCGTAATTAAGATGAGCAAAATAATTTAACATTTCGAGAGTAAAGCTAGATTGAACTAAAATTCACCAATCCAGATTACCAAACGCAAAAAAATAATAAATAAATATATTACAATATAACACTTTTAGTAATAAATGATGTACTATTTTCTCTCTTTTTCACTACAGTGTTTACGCCAGTTGAGGTAAATGACAAAATAATTATTTATGTAAAATTTCTGTGTAATTAATATTACTCTTACACAGTTCTGTAACATTTATAAACTGACTGCAGAAGCAGTTACACATAATAAATGTAAAATACAATCACGTCTTTTGTGTTAAATTAAATTCTAATCAAATTCCACTCCGTAACACAGGACTAAAATGCAGAACATTTCTAATCCAACGCAATGCAGCTTTATGTAAAGCTTATTAGAAGCAATCAGTTATGTAATTAATCTTCTTAGTGAAAACGAGAAAAACATAGATTGAAGTACAGTGATTGACGAGATCTATTAACTTCCTCAACCGACACTTGTAATAAGGATTGTATAACAAGAAAAGCACTAAAGGATATTGAAGGATAACATGAAATTATAAAATGAATTTAATTTATCATTTGTCTTTGAAATAACATAGAAAAAGAAAAGATAATAATAGAAATACACAAAAAATATATTAAATTCAACTAAGAAAAATAATTTTATATATTTTTTTTCTTCTAAAAAGCACATTTTCTTACTATAATAAGAACAATGTTAATTTGAAAAGCTAAATGTGATAGATAAATTTATTTAATCACGTAATGCAAGTTTTCCTTGTACGCTTTAAATTGCAATTTGTTGCAATTCTCCGAATTGGTTTCAAAATTAATGCAGCCAATATGCCAGAAATTTGTACCAAACTGCATTTGCTCAACTCTGACAAGTTCAATAAAGTCATAGAATCAATGCAACAATTTCAGAATATACCCTGAAGCACCAATCGACACGGGAAATACGAAATTGAATTTGATTCCAGCAAGGAAGATATACTAATAAATCGGAATAGAAAATTTACTAAAATAAATTCGAAACACTTAAACTATTTAAATTAGAAAGTTTTGCGTATATATCAATTCATTTAAAAAATATTTCAACTCAGATATTTGGAAGAAGAATCTTAAGAGAAGTATATTCATATTTTATTGATTGCAAATAAAAGAAAAATATATCGAAATGTACTTTTATAAATTTTGCTATTTTGCTAT